CTGATGGCCTGAATTCTCTGCCTTCTCACTCTCTGGCTTCTCACAGCTCAGAGGAAGCTGTGGCTTCCTGGTAGTGCTAATCTCTGGCTTGTCTCCTTATGTGTTGCTGAGCATTCCAGCACTTCCTTCCTTTGCACGGCCAGTTTCCTACATGAGGCCCTTTAGTTTTTTTAGGTTTTTTTTTTTTTAAAGATGTGGGGTACAATTCAGGATTAGGTATACATCCTAGGTGGTCATTGTGCAGATAAAGTTTGGGTTTCCCTTTGGTCCCCACTTTGCCTGGATTGAGGTAAGTTGCCCTTAGTGATGTTGTATTCCATGCCCCTCCACCCCAGCAGTATCCCGCTACTGGCGGTTCCTTTTTTATAGTATTATGGCAAATGTTCAGTGTCCACTTATGAGTGGGAACATGTGATACTCTGTTCTTCATTTCTGTGATAGATCACTGAGTATGACAGACTCTAAATCCATCTAAGTTGCTGCAAAGTCCATATGTTTGTCTTTATTTATGGCTGCATAATATTCCACTGTGTATATGTACCACATTTTAAAAATCCAGTCCAGTTTCGATGGGCAGCATGGCTAGTTCCGTGTTTTTGCTATTGTGAATAGTGCTGAAATAAACATGCGTGTGCGGGTATCATTTTTGTAGAATGATTTGAGTTCCTCCAGGTATATTCCTAGTAGGGGGATTCCTGGGTCATATGTCTAGTTCTTTTAGAAATCTCCACACTATTTTCCAAAGAGGTTACACTAGTTTGCACTCCCACCAGCAAGGTAGAAACATTCCTTTTTCTCTGCAAGCTTACCAGCATCTGTTGTTTGTTTTATTAATGATGGTTATTCTTACTGGGGTTAGGTTGTCTTGATTTGCATTTCTCTGATAATTAGTGAGGCTGAGCACTTTTTCATGTGTCTGCTGGCTGCCTGTATATCTTCTTTTGAGAAGTATCTATTTATGTGTTTTGCCCACTTTTTAATGGGCCTGTTTGTTTTTTTCCTTTCGGCATGTTTGAGTTCTTTGTAGATCCTGGATGTTAGTTAGGCCTTTGTCATGGCAGATATTTTTTCCCATTCTGTGGGCTGTTTCCCTGCTCTCTTGATGGTTTGACTTTGCAGAAGCTTTTCAGTTTGATGATGTCCCACTTGTCTATCTTATCTCTTATGGCATGGGCACTTGGGGTTTTAATCAGAAATTGGTTGCCAGTTCCAGTTTCCATAAGCGTGTCTCCTGCATTTTCTAAGGTTCTTATAGTTTGAGGTTTTACATTTAGGTCTTTGATCCATTTAGAGTTGATTTTTGTGTATGGTGATAGGTAGAGGTGACCTTTGGTTTTAAGTACTCTAGTGGTTTCTCTTCCCTGAAAGAACTCTGACTGATGTAATACATACCTCAAGGCCTTAGTACAGAGGCTCAGAAGAATGGGTCCAAACAATTCTGCCTTATTGCTATTCTATATCTGAAGGTATGTATCTATTTGTTTCTCATTTCGTAAGTGCTCGTGCTATTGTTTTTTCCCCTTGCATTCTCAACATTTCTTCTGTCTATGACTTGAAGTTGCACTTATAAATGGACTTTCTTGTTTTCTAGTTATTACATCTTGGCATAATACTTTCAAACACCATTTTATTATGTTCCACACTTAAAAAACCACCTGGATATTCTCCCTCTCTAGTCTTTTTGTTAAACTATCTTTAAGCCCTCTTGCGTGTTTTTGTAATGTAGAACACAGACTCTGTTACGACAGAAAAGTTTCAAAAGACTTGTGCAGCTGGGAACTTTTTGATGATTTCATTTTATAAGTCCTTTGGAATGAACGTGGGCATTAAGAGGCACAATGAATACAATATCAATTTAACAAGTTTTGAGTGGCCTTATTTTTACAGAGAAGTTAACATTTCTAGACATTGTGATTCCATCAGTGGCTTTCTCTATAATGTTTAAAAAATGGAATTTAGCAGACGTGTAAAATGGAAAAAATAGAAAAGTTGTCATAAATCTTTTATACTGAAGTGTTTTGTGATTGCTTCAGAAAGAAACAAGATGAGAAAGTCCAGGTGCTATTTTGTTAAAGTATAGGGTTGATGTTTCAGCCTCTCAAAGGGATATAATGAAAGAAACCAAATAACATAGGTCACATGTTTGACGGCAACTCACCGGAGAAATCAGGTCCATCTGGACTCTCGGCAAAAAACAAGAATGCCCAAGGCCACCAAAGCTGTGAAAAGCGCCCAGTGTGGCAGAATCCTCAAGGCGTCTTCTGTGGCAGGCCCCAACTTGCCCCACAGTGGTTGCAGCACCTCTCCATGACAGTCATGACAGGGCGACTAGATGGCACTCTACAGGGGCGGGGTTTCCTCACTTTGTGATGACCTGCTGTAGTGGTCAGGCCAGCAACTTGTGCCACCAATGCTCTTGTTCCTGAGGTAACTCACGGCTGCATCAGTCGGGCCAGGGAGGTTAATAGACCTCTCAAGCATTGCTTCAGTCTGTACATTGCTGAGCACCAAAGGAATTTCCTTTTTGAGTTGTGCCTTTGGGCTGACTGTGTTCCGTCACAAACATTTTTTATCTTTAGTATCTTTTGTTTAGTAGACAGCTTGCATTCACCCTCTAAAAACTATTTGAAGATTGTTTAATATACTGACTTAAAAAAATATGTAGCCAGGCATGGAGGCAGGTGCCTGTAGTCCACTTGGGAGACTTGGGTGGGAGAATTGCTTGAGTCCAGTAGGTCGAGGCAGCAGTGAGCTATCATCTAAATATATGCATATATATTTAAATATAAATATTAAATTATATAAATAAATACATATATGAGAGCCTTCTATATCAGTCTATGTGATCTCTCTCACCTTTTAAATTAGCTGTGTAATAGATTTTCATGTGGATATAACTCATTTGTCTAAACCAGTGGCATATTGGTGGATACTTCGGATACTTCTAGTCTTTGACTATTATAGGCATCATTGCAGTAAACATCCTTGGACATTTTTCTTTGGTGAACTTTCTTAACTACTGCTTTAGGATGAATTTCTAACAATGGAATTTCAGGGTCAAAGGGTACATGCATCTTATATTCTGATAGATATTGCTACAGTGTCTTCTTGAAATTTTTTTTTGATGGTTCCTATATCGCTTTTATTTCTGAACGTTAGATACAGCAATATACAAAAACAAAGGAAAACCCACAATAATATAAATTTGTACGTTATGAAGTACACATTAGAATTTGAACGGGTGGCCAGGACAGCAGCGTATGAACCACTGTGTAGGTGGATGAAGCGACCCGCAACCCCGGGAACCCCCCGGGGGCTGGTGGAAAAGCGCAGGCCCTGAGGACCTTGTTCTTTAAGCGGGGCAGAACAAGGCTCAGCTCCCCTCTGAACTTCCGCTTCAACCAGAGTCCAAACCAGACCACCCGCTGCCTGATGCCATGAACTCCAGTGTCTGCCCCAGAGAAACCCAAGCCCTCGCTCTCCGTCTCTGTGACCTAAAACCCACAGTGAGCCCCCCAGGCCCACCTTTCTCAACAGTCTCTCAGCTCATGAGTTCAGCTTATTCTGTACTCGAGTGTGGCTAGAGGAAGCCCAGGACTGCAGGTCAGCTGTCCCCAGGCAGGAGGACAGGACGGCCAGGGCAAGCCCTGTTCATCCTGGTGACAGGGTCGCCCTTAGTTCAGAAACTAGCTGACTTGGGTCTGACAGATAGAATCTCATAGGAAGCCCGATCAACCAAGGCAAGGGGACTTTGAGTCATCAGATCCGGCCACACCTCTGGGTCAGAGGAGGCCACTGGGCACATGCAAAGTGTCCCGCGTGCACAGCAGAGGGGAACTGACTGGCCAAGGCAGGTAGACCCGATGGCCACAGGGCGCGGGCACCAGCCCTGGGGAGGCCAGGTATACCCCTGACACCGGGGCAGACCTTGAGTTTGTCAGGAAGCCTTTGCCCTGCATTAACCGAGTGAAGAAGGGAGGACCGGTGCCCTGGAAATCACCCAGAACCACATGCCCTGAGCTCAGTGAGACCCCTTTCTGGGCCCCGTGGTCCAAGTCATGGTCAACACATAGCTCTCCCCCTTCTTTCATGGGGTCCTAAGGCCGGGATTCCTCACACCACAGGACAAGGGACCTTCAGACACCGGAGGAGACATGCCACTAGCAGAGTCAGGTGGATGGGGAGGAAGCCAGAGCTGGCCTGGCCCTGATAAGGCACCCGCAGAAACGACCAAGGCTGGGCAACAGAAGAGGGCCAGGGAGAAAGGGGGCATAGCTGCGAGCATCCCTGGCCCGGCCTTAGCACTGAAGGCCAACACATGACAAGGGAAAGAAAACTCTATATACAAACAAAGTCTAAAATGTTGAGGCTCTCCTCACACCTTCCTGCTTTCAAAACTAAAGGCCAGGCTGAGCTGAAGCCGTTTCAGGATTTATATAAATTATCAGCCTGGAGAAAGCTAGAAGCTTTAAGCACCAAGGAGGCTGTGAACTGAGCTTTCCAAATCAGAAAGGCTATGCTGATACTACGGCGGGTTTTACCCTTTAATAACTGTTATTTTTTAATTTAAAAATAAATGGGAAATTAGGCAGACGTGGTGCATGCCTGAAGTCCCAGCTACCCGGGAGGCTGAGGCGGGAGGATCGCCTGAGCCCAAGAGGTCCAGGCTGCGGTGAGCCATGATCGTGCCTCTGCACTCCAGCCTAGGTGACAAGGAAGACCCAGACTTGGAGAAAAAAAGAAGCCCAGGGCTTAGACATCCTGCCTCCTCCCTGGATGCTAGCAAGGTCAAGAATGTGAGACTAGGTGTGTGCGGCACAGGTGGCCCGCGGCATGGCTTACAGAGACAGACGGAAGGCGGCGCGGGCACCAGGAGGCACTTGTCTAAGAACGACAACAACAGAACGCTGCTGAGAAAGAGGGCAGGGGAACCAAAGCACAACACATTTCCTTTCTCTCCCTCCAGCCGCCCCTTCCACATCCCCCATTACGGTCTCGGAGAACACAATCTTATTTGCACTGAGATAAAAGCATGTCACCCACATTCTCTATTGCAAAAAGTGCCCAGATTGCTCAGAGATAGCAGAAGTAGGAGATAAAAAAAATCTGGAACCACAGAGTTAGGAGTTTCAGATGAGCTGGGGTTTGGTGCGAGGGGGCGGGACGCAGGTAGGCGCCTCAGCGGGCAGGTCTCTCTGCAGCTTCCGTTCACTCCTCACATGGGGGAGGTGGCGCACTCCGAGGTCAGCTCCATGTCAAATGTGAGGGACTCTAGAGGGACACAGGGAAGGCTGGTTCAGTCCGCTGCCCCTGTCCTTCAGAAGACAGGGCGCGGCCACCTCTGTGACCCAATCTCCTGCCCATGAAGGCCAGGGAGCGTCAGAAAAGCCGGACCGACTCTTCCCTATGGGACTGTGTCTCCTTCCTACCCAACTCACTCTCAGCTATCAAGGGAGGACCGAGGCTGCCCCATGTAACATGCAGCCCCGAACCACGCGTGGCCACTGACACTTGAAATGTGGCTCATCCCAATTGAAGCCATGCTGTGGTTGTCAAAGGCCCACTGGATTTCAAAA